ACAGGCATCTGGACCTCCCTGCGGCCTACAAAGTCCTACGCCATTACGTAAGAAAAGGACAGGAGACGGTCAAACCGAAGTCAGGACTTGCAGACGAAGACGGCACTGTGACGAAACTACCGGAAGAAGGAGCAGGATTACCAGCATCCTCTACCGTGGGGACAAAACAGAACACCAACTGCCCTCACGCCAAGCCTAAATCCTCACGCGTGGCCAAACAGCGACCGGAGAAAAATCAATCAGCCCAAGGCCAATACTCACAGCCGCAACTTTAAACTTGCTGATAGATAAAGGCAGTATTCGTTTTGAAAAAGGACAGCCGCCCGAGCTGTCCGAAACGTCAGCAAATCTACAAATTTATTCCAGTGAGCAGAAGATGAATTCTTATTCTTATCCCGGAATTCTGACTTTTCCAAATACTTACAAGATAAAGTCTCTGTCTCTATGTTCAGTATGGCTGAATCCCACCCCTACAAGAGCGACAGCTCTCAATGTCTGTGATCTCAGTGGACATTGCAACACGTTTGCAACCCGCGTCTTAATCTCTCCCTTCTCCTTTACGAACTGGTTTCGCTAAACCCACAACGGACGCAGAACATGCACACCTACTGGTAGCACAATCCTCGGCGAAAAGAGGAGCTCCTTGTTTTTTAGTTGATCCTGACAGTCTACATCGACATCCCTTGTGCGACTGAAATACGCCAGCACAACCCAACGGCAGATAGTACCGCCTCTGACCAGACTACGTAGAAGCGCCGTCCCTCAACGCCGAATACTACACGAAACCACGCCTTATTACGTTCAGTCTGACAAATTACCAACCCCTCGTATAAGACGGCTGGGTTGAGCCAATTACCCGAACTTCGAACAAAAGCCTTCGAAATGCCTGACCATATCGGCGGCCGAGGATTCAGAAGACGGTTTTAGAAAAGGAGCTAAAATTAGTATTGAAAAATTACGATCACAAGCTTGTTTATAGAGGGCAAAGAGGGAGCTTTGGTCGAGGGGATAAAAAAATCTGGGACTGCAGACGACAGTCGCGGTATTCAGTTCAAATAGGGTCGCCAGACGATCTTGCTTGGTCGGTCGCTGCTAGTGTCTTCAGGCTTCTGTTGGGTAGGCGGCGCCGAAGAAGTCAACCGGTCGCCCGTAACCGGTCTGACAGGCGTCGACGTCAATTCAGCCTCCCCAAATGATTTTGGTATTGGGGAAAATGGGAGTACAGAGGTCTGGGTAGGCCATACTTGCCGTAGAGGTGGAATGCTCATGCCAGGAGAAAGTGCCATCGAGGAGGAACACAGAGGACTGGAAGAACCCACAACTGGAGTGATACTCGAAAGACCGGTTTGGTACCCACTGTCGTAGAAGCTGGAGACGGTGACTGAGGCTGTCGGTGTCGTAACATCCAAATGCACCGGAGAGAAGGCAGAATGGGCCGAAGGTCTAAAGTGTGGTTTGTATGGTCGCAGGGCCGGAGGAGGAGAAGGAAGTTGGGGAACGGAGCTGGTTGGAGGAACGCAGACTGGTGGGCGGTTTTCTTTTTCTGCTGAGTGGGACTGTACCGGAGGTTTTCGCGGTTCACTACTAGTTCCCTGTCCTTCCGGTGAATGGCTGGCAAGTTTCGAGCCAATCTTCTGCAACTCGACCTTCAACTCCGGTTGTTGCTGAACTACTTCGTAGAGACCCTGCAAAACACCAAGGCAGTTGGCCAAGATGTCCGCCTTTTCCACTCGTTGGAATTTTTCCGGCTGTAGGGGGCAGAAAAGAAAGCAGGTAAGTCATAAATCATAAAAACCGGTTGAGGATAAAAGCACACAAACATGGACTTCACTTACGTCTTGGCCAACAAGTGACACTGCGAGGTCGTGAAGAGCGTTCATTTTGTCGGAAATGCAAGCGCGCCTCCGACGTTCCATGCGTTGCTTTTTAATCTGAATTGCAAAAAGGAAAGGATCATTATAAGCACTGTTCAGTATGTTACAGTGTAATGGAGAATTTAAAAATTCAAGTTGTGCTTACGCGTCTATTGTTATCTCGTTCCTCACGGGATTGCAGAGCTCTTTTCATGGGTCGAGGCTTAGTTGATTCACGAACTTGCGTGGAAGTGCCGTCAGCTGATACAGCGAAGGTGGCACTGGTCGAGGTAGAAGTCAACGAAACACATACTGGTACGAGAAAACGTTCCATTATGCACGCGCCAGTCAAAGAGTGATAAGCCCGGGCCCCGCACGTGGTTTATATAGACGAGACCGATGCAGACGCCTGATTGGCTGAGAGTCTCAACGCCCTTCTACCAATCAGTTGCACGTGCGCGACCGTCCCTCACCCCACCCACACATGCAAT